ATTTGTAGAAATTGCAACACTGTAAATTAAATAAAAAGAAAATACAGTATAGGTATTTAAAATTACAGTTACGAATAGGTAGTTATATGTATAATATGTAAATCTCATATTTAACTGTAATATATCATTATTTATTATGGTTATGACAATATATTACTACCTTTCATCAAAATTATTATATTTTTAGTGATTGCGCATTACAGTAAGTCATCAGCTGTGTTTGAATTATTATTATTGTAAATGAAAATCTTAGGAAAATTACGATAGGTTAAGTTAGTAACAGTGGCGGATCCAGAGCTTAATTTTGGTGGGTGGTATGGGGGGGGAGTACAAAAAGTTCCAAAAGTGGCTAAACACAGTGTAAAACTTTAAAACAAAGGAAAACTACGGTGAATGGGGGGGATGCCCTTTTTGCCCTCCCTCCTGAATCCGTCACTAGTTAGTAAAAGGTATAATATTAGAAATATTATATATTATTTGCATTACCTACAATTACCAATGTATTTTCAGATAAAGAAATTCACGATTTTATAATTGAGAAGGTTATATAAATCAACTAAAGGTATGATTGATGTATATTTATTATTGTATGTACCTATAGGTAAAGTAAACATTAATTTTTATATTATTAATTTTAATCATCCAAACTTAAAAACAGAATATCTGTCTATGAGTGCGCTTTGAAACAATAACGGTCGACCGTAGTACCGTACAATGCTTATAGTTATTAATTTATTATACTCTGCACAACTAAACGGTGTTAAACGGCATTAGTGGTAGCTGGGAAAGGGCTAAAACCCATTACGGCATTATTATAGGTTCTCAATAACTACGCATACTGCAGCTGTAATATAAGACAAAAACGAACTTCCTGCGTTCATCCCAATCTTAGTTATAAGGGTGGGTATTCCTAGTTGATTTGAAGTACAATTGTAGTTTCTCCTTCAAACAAGATAGAGAAAATGTAAAGTATAACCTACATGATGTATAATAAAAATAGCACATAGATAATCTGTGATAAATTATAATAGTATTTTGGGTAGGTACGCTATTATTATTAAGTAGGTATACTTAATATAATACAAGTCAGGTATATCTGATATTCCCCAAAAAACACTTTAAAAAAGTAAAAAAATCGCCAAGCTCAAAAATAGAACCATAAAATTATTGTTGGGTACGAAAAAAAATCTGCCCACAAAATGCTGTGATATGAACGTTATCCAAGCTTTTAATTTTAATGGTTCTTCTTCTATATCATTATCTTAAGATTCTTTTCTCCTTAGTTTTACCTTTGTACCTGTTTTGTCACAATATCGCTATCCAATACGAAAATACTTGACGGCAGCTTGTGGGATTTGTTTTGATTTGCATGTATACCTAATGGTATAATCTATAAATAAGCCACCAAATATTGGACAAAGGTTAACCTAAGGAGAAAAGAAAAAAGTTTATAGGTAAATGATAGAATAGAAGAACCAACAAGTTGACTAAAAGCTCAGATAATGTTGATATGAGTGCATTAATATGGGGCGGGCATTTTTTTCGTTGTAAACATTTTATAGTTCTATACATGCGGTTGGCGTGATTTTACTTTTTAAAAGTATCTTTTGGGGAATCATTACATAACCATAGGGCATAGGTACTCACACGAAAGAAAGGCACAGGACTTGACGAAAACCGTATATAGAGTACGCCCACGCCATTATTCACCTAATTCTCGCCCAACGAGCTAAACATACGTAACCCGACGGACTGCAGAGGCCGTCGAACTACAAGCAAAGATATTTTTATAACAAAATTTGAGTGTACGCCTTTTATTATATGATTTTAGACCGATGACTAAACCTGGCGAAGAAGAGTAGAATATGATTTCAGAAATAAGAAGACACGCGTATAATTAATCATAATTTGTTATTTTGATGATTCGTAATTAGTAGGTACCTATACCTATTATAATACTGCACAATATATATATATAATATAAATTAAATATAAATTAAATGTATTAACATTTCACTATACCTGTAAGAATAAAATATACGATTAAGATTTAAGACGTGTGTATTATCAAAAGTCAACTATTGACTGTTACAGTAAGCATAAGATATAAATGTTTCATGATTTGATATTATTATTGTTAATTATCATAAACAATATTTATCCATTATGATATTTGATTGCAACAAATAAATAGTATTTTAGTGCATGTAATTTAATAATTTATTTGTTAATTGAAATATAATTGCAGGGGCCAGGCCATATACTATGCCAATTGTCTCGAGAGTTTGCTTACGTGAATATTCTCGCATCGTAGGATGGTTTATACAGTGTGGGTGGCAATATTTTAGCGCAGGTCCTCCTCTACCCATCTATGACATATATACAGACTGGAAATAGAAAAAGAATGGTTTACCGTGTGATTTCGCACAATCGTACAGAGTAAAAATTGTATCATCAAAATGTATGTTTTTTTTTTTTGAAGTGAAAACTTCAATAGGCCCGTTTAGCACTTTTAGTGGGTACTGAATCGAACTGAGCCGTCACGCTCGGCTGTGTAACGATCATTCGGGTGAAGTCAGCTCCAGTCGACTATTTGTATACGTGGTTATTCATCAGTGATTATTATTATTATATTATTTTTGGAAAATCGACATAATTTCCCATCGTCCCTAAGGCCCTATCGCAGCCGGGGATCGTCGTAGCTGTATTTTGTAAACGGCCGTGGGTTGCGGGCGTTCACGTGCATAACATATCAAAAATTATCCCCCCCTTTTTTTTTGATTTAAGTATATCTCTGTAACGTTTCGACTTGGGTCCCCTGTTTTACCACCAAAAATTCTGTTTCGAGACCCTATAAATAGTCCTCCCCGTAGTCGGGGTGTTCAGCTATAACAGCCGTCAGCTGGTGATTGAAGTATTTTAAAGTTTGTGTGTCACAAATCAAATTTCTGTAAGACTGAGTAAAAGTGATCCTATAAAAGCATTAGAAATAATATGCTATAATTCTATAGCTGGAGTTCCTTATAGCTTGCAGTGTGACGGTGTTTATGAAAAATTGGGCGTTCCTTATAGATAGGTAAATTTAGTAAGATTTTACTTACAACCAAAAAGAAAATTCATGACACATCAAAGGTTTTATCGTATTCTTACATTTGTAGTTTGTACATATGTTGTCAAGCGTTAAGTGTTCGTTTAGTTTCATTTGTATTATTGTACATCCAACAAGATTGTAACATTTTATTTCCAGTTAATATATTTTAACTATTTAACTTATAATGATGTTTTATTAACTTGGGAATCGATTGAAAATCACTGGGCCACTAATACACATAATAATATGCAAATTTTTAAAATATAGTCCAAATATTAGCTTAACATTAGATACAATATTGAGTTATCTTAAATGATCGGCAAAAGCACTTAATTAAATTTTTTGTCTAGGAATAGTAGGGGCGATGAGGAAGTGAAAACTATAAAAGATGATTTTTTTTTTTTAGAAAAAATGTTTTAGAATAATCAACAGCCAGCAGGGTAGTGTTAAAAATATATTTTTAATTGTTTATATATTATCTTTGGTAATCTAAACAGTAAAAAAAAGTAATAAAAATGTATCACACTTAATTAGCATTATTAACATTACTATAATACATACGTATGCACTATAAATACTTACATTATCATATAAAAATACATCAGATCATATTTTTTAAGCTACAATTTAAAGAAGCACTTAACACAAAAATATAAGTGGTTTTATTTTGAAAGTGTACTTAATACTAAGAAAAATAGTGTAGGATTCACGTTATTCAATGAGTTATGCTTATTGAAATCCAGTGTTTGATTTTTTTAAAAATATTTAAAATCCTAAAAAGATTTAGAACTCAATTATGTCATGGAGATATTCTAAATATCTTAATATTTCGGGAAAATAATAATATTTTTTGCAATGGATTTTCACCTATTTGTTTCTAATAGTACAGACTACATAGTAACATACAATATAAATTTGAACGTTTTTATGTGTTGTGTGCTCCTTTAAGTATTTCTAAATAAATATCAAATATAATTCCGTAAAATAATAAGCAAAATATAATAAATTATCACGTAGTCAACATTAATAAAAAAAAAAAAAAATGTTAGATATCGGTAAAAATATACAGGAGTATTGAAATCCACTTAACAAAAATAGTAGATAATATTTCATAATATGATTATTACGAAGCATCCACTATTTTGGTAACGTGAGGTTCTAAACATCCTATATAATGTATATAATTATAACTTTTCATTTGTTCTGATTAATGATGGTAAAAAAAATATTGAATAAGTAGTGAATGATGAATGAATTTAAATTACAATATAATATAGGAATTACATAGTATTCATGAACCAAACTAATAATGAATGAGCAAAAAATAAATTATAAAATACTAAATTTGATGTCAGAGATTACAATTAGCATCATAAATACAATTATACACGATAGATATATTTATTTTATATTGATAAATATTATCAATAAAATCATTATAATATAATGGACATTTTAGTGCAGGCTAAAGGACAAAATATTAAATAATTTTTTATTACATAATATATTAGATAAATGAGCCCATTATCACAGGGCGATTTCAAACTTCATTGATGTATTTTTTATTTATTTACAACCTTAAATTTGAATTGACTAAGTTAAAAAATTTAAATATATTTAGCGATACAAAAAAAAAAATTGTCAGAATTAAAAATTATGAACATATAAATTATAAAAAACACATAAAAATAGTTAAATAGTATTAATTAAAAATTGATAAGATAAAATAAAAATTTGAAATAATTAAAATATAGTTTTTTTTTTTTTTATAAAAACCCCACTTATGTAATAATTTAGATTTAAAAAAAGTGTTGTAGTAACTAAATACAATATTTAGTACCTTATTTTAATACCATATTATAATAGTATTATGGAAACCTTATCTTGTTTCTCATACCTTAATTATTTTTCAAGAAGCCCATCTGGATTTTTGTAAGTCAATTTGTCCTTCTAATGTTTTGGCTAAATTGATAATAAGTAGCTATAACAGAAAATATTTACAGTGAATTATTAACATAGTTCTAATTAAAAAGTAAGGACAGGCTCTGGGTTTAGCTGTCCTTGCTCTAAAAAAAAAACCAAAACAATATCAACTAAGAATATTATTTTAGTTGTATTTACCTGAGATAGGGCAACACCTAATGCTACTCCTGCAATTGTATATAAATTTCTTTCAGCCCATATACGGATAACTTCAATACATCCACTAGTCCAAACTCTTTTACTAGCTTCAGCAACCTAATTATATATTGCATGATATGAGTATTGTATATGTATACGACATATTAAATTTATTTGTTATATACTTACAGAACTATCTTGAGCGCCGTAACCACACATGACATTTACAAGTCCTTTCTAAAATACAATAGATTGGCATAAATATTAAGAACACAGCAATACAATAACAAGTAATACGTACTGAAATATCTGTTGCATTGATACAACACGAATAAGGCACCCCACACTTCTCAACGCTGGGTGATGTACAGTTGAAATATTCATTTTTTGACCAATCAATATATCCTTCTGAACTAAGACCACAACATTGAAACTAGAACATAGTATATAAGTATACATTTTAACGTCAACCTGGTATTTAAATTAAGATATTTTTACTTCTTTCTGAGCAAAATCTATGAGGTTTTGTAAATCTGGATCATCACGGTAAGTGTGAATAATTTTATCAGTGAATGATTCTTCCAAAGTAGCTTGCATGTTATGTGGAAAAACAAACCCGATAATTGCAATTCCCATTTCAAGTAGAAAGAATATTAAAAGACACAATGAGTACTGAAAAAAAATAAAAATATTTTGTATTATATTATAGTTATTAGAGCAGATGTTTACTTATTATTTAACTTCAAAATAAATATATTTTGACAAGTTAGAGTTAGCGCACGCCTAACAATTCCTTGGCTAATACTTGGTTGCATAGTTTGAAATTTGGCTACCATAGTTACAAGAAACTAATTAAAACTGAAGTAGTTAATGTTTGATTAGTTTTATTTTTATTAATTCAATGTTCAATAATATTTAACAGCAATAAAATATCATAAAGGATCTCCTGGAAGTGATTAATGTTATTTGGAGTTCAATAAAAAAAAATATATATATATATCAAATTCAAATCAACAAATGGTTTGATTTTCAAAGATTTGATACTTGCTAAAAAAACGTGTTCAATGACCAATTTTCTGTCAAACCAATGTATATGCTCGTCCAAAGGAACCCACGATATTCATCATAACTACTTTTATGAAAAACAATTTATGCTCCTAATTAATTTCCCATAGTGAAGTTATTGCATTTAATTTTGAAATGGAAATTATAACAACGATTCTCCCAATTCCAAATAGTCATTAGATAATGCAATTTTCTTCCCGCATATTTTATAAATTATATAAAGCCTAGTTTACAGAAAATAGTAGGGGTTATAAATTACACATTAAAGTACAACACTTGAGTAAAAATAAAATCAATTTTTAATAGGTAGTCCATATAGTATAATTTTTAAAATACAATTTAAAATGCTTAAAATAATTTATCAGTATGAGTTAATAATAAAAATTTTTATTTTATTGTATTTGCTAAAAGGTTAAAAACTAAGAATTAATTTTTGTTAGTTCAGGAAGGTAGTAATTGTAGTAAAAATATTCCATTTTTCTGACTAATTTTTCAAGAAATAAATTGTCTCTCTTGACGGAAACAGTTATGCAGTCAGCTTTTGTGCAAACAAACAAATCACATTCCTCCATCCCAGTACAGTACATCTGAATTTGACACTGCGTAAAATAGACGTGGTTTTGTTTTAAAACAATTGTATTCAGTTCTTCATTGTAACTTAAGTATGGAACTCTAAGCTTTCCAGTATCTTCATCGATCAATAAGGTGTCTTTACAAGTGTATGGACACTTTATTTCCAACAGTTTTTTTACTTTATTGTCATGAATGACTAAACCATCTGGACTTGCACAAATCCATGGTTGTTTTTGATGTATTACTAGGCCACACTTTATAACATCTGCGTTATGTACCAGTGAATACTTTTTAGAAGCAAAATCTTCCATCCCAATTCCATATTCCACATATATTAAACCTTTTCCTAAAATTTTTTTGTCTTTTATAAACCGTTCAGCCAATTCCTCGTTTCTGTTACGTCTTGTATTTATCTGATGAGCTTTTGAACTTGCCGAGAGTCTTGTTTGTCTATGCAACCGCCAAGCACTAATATTTGCTTGCTCCCTAGTATTAAACATTAGGTTAAGTATTTGATCTCTATCAATATTTACATATTTTTTATAAAAATTTAATTGACTGTCGTTCTTTGGTTTTAAATTATTAGTGTATATTGGATACTTGGCTTGAATATTGAGTATTTCGTCATAAGAATCAAGTAGCTTAAAAATAATTTCATCATTGCTTCTGGGTTTTGACTTCTTTAATTTATCAGTATTTTTTGTACTGAAATTCGGTGCTCGTGAAACATTTAAATTGCTGACACAAACATTTGTAATCTGAGCAGCAATATTTTTGAAAGGAAACTGAAATTAAAGGGAATAGTATTAAAATTGAAGACTGATTAGATTGATTTATACTAACCTAATTTGAATTAATTAAACATTAATATTAATTATAATTATTAATAATTAATAATTAATTATTAAATATTAATTTTTACATGAAAAATATAAAAAAAAAAAATTGTGACTCACTGTTTTAAAAATTTTCAAAAACATTAAGATATTTCACTTAACATTACTTATTAGTTATTTGTTTTGAACACTAATATAAAATTATAAACAAATTAATAAAAATGAATTTTTAGGTACTACCTACCTGCCTATTAATTTAGAACAATGAGTATTTAAATTTTAAATTAAAATAACAATTAAAATAATTCACATGTATGAAATAAATTAATATTATATAAATTCCATGGAAACCTCGATTTTCAAAAAAGTTTTTTGTATGTAGCTAGCCAAATTTTTAACACATACATTAAAACTTCTACAATATACAGGTTACTCTAGGTTGCTGAAATGTCAGCTATTCTGAGGGTTCTGTTTGTAGAAAGTTTATAGTTTGTTCCTAAAAACCTTCCACTATTTGGATGTGATATTAAGTCTCCATTAATTAAAGGTGTCCATTATAGGGGTTTCACATTTAGATCATAATAATATACTAGCTATATGAGCAGGAGCCATGAGCCATGTGTAAACAATTTGATGCACATATAAGCTTCAAGTCTCTGAATTAGATGCTTGATATGCGCATACGTGAGGCAAACCATTGCATATTTAGCCGTCGGTTGCTGATTTATATTTATATAAATATATAACATATCAATTCAAATAGATAAATATTCTATATTTCTCTTTGCGCATGCCCGGTTTGTTTATTCATGTAACTAATTCAGAGACTTGTCGCTAATATATGCTTCAAATTATCGGGACATGGGTCAGTGGCGGCGGGAAATTGTGTAGGCTTTGAAGCATATTGTATATTAATTTAAATATTTTTACCACTTCATTGAACCAAAATTAGCAGCAGGGGCCATTAATAATTTATAATTATAATATTTGCCATGATAGTTTTGTTGAGGTCTTACGATCATATATATATTTATACACCCACCCACCCATTTCAAACATGAAGCAATTGCTTCAAATAATCCTATATCCCTCCGCCGCTGCATGGGTCCATCCATAGAATATTATGATTTAAGGTTCTACTGTATACTCATTAGTTTGATGTTAGATTAGTTAAATAACGTTTACTTTTTTAAGAATATTCCATTACTCGTTAAATGGTTGAACACAAACTCAATCATTTAATTATTTATTTACACAAAAAAGTAGGTAACAGTGTGGCACATGTAGTAATCCACACTAGTACAATTTGTTTTGGAAACTGTTCCAGTCATGATGGACCGTTCATCACTTAAAAACTATGAAACACAAAGATTGGTAATAAATACTCACGAATTTAAGAAGTGTTGTGTTTTCACGTAGAGCACCGATACATCCGGCAAAGCTAACAATGAATATAATTTGTCCGGCTATGATCAGAACTAGGGAGATATTGAGTATGACGTCCGAGAAGGTGTTCAACTTGATAGAACCCATAGTATTCCATTTTTCGTAAAACGCAAATGTACCGGCTGCCACCAGCAAACCGCCAAACAACTAAATTAACAATAATGGGTACACAATATACATATTATATTGTTGTTGTTGGATTTACAAATAGTTATTTGTACTACCATTATATGTGGTAAACACATACCCAAAACAAAAAGTTCAGCAAAAATATCATGTACTTGACGCAAGGGCTGACATATGTGAAATTGTTCACGCGTCTCCGGTTCATTGCCACGGGCATGTTTATAATGCGGATGTTCGATTCACAGTAGACAAGTAACGGTCACTGTCGTGTCGCATACCAAAAGCAACGGAACAAGGTGAGAGACTCGTCGCAAGAAAAAATATTTAAATTATCTGCAAACAAAAAAACAATAATTATGGCGAGACGGAAATCAATTCGCCAATAATCTCGACGTCAAGCGAATCAACGCTCGGCCGCACGAAACGTTGAAACAAACGATTATCGTTAGTATTATTATTATTATTACCGTTTCTTTTGTTTACAGTCGTGAAATGAGATTTATGCGTTGTGTACGGCCGTGGACGATACGACGGCACACGCCCAGAAGAACGTCCGAAAATCGACAGCGACGTTCCCGGAACGTAATGATATCACAGACCCAGACTCCGACATGATAATATTTAATTCTGAATCATATTCATATTTTGTCAGAAGTGTAGTTGTCCCGTTGTTGTTGTTGTTGTTGTTGTGGACTGTGGGAGGGATTCACTATTCAGTAGTCGTGTCGCGGTAGTGCGCGGAACCCACTGGCCACTGGCAGCACGATAGTGATAGCGGTCGCCGAACAAAGGAAGCGACAATCTATTTCAGTATTCTGTCGTGAGTGTTGTGAGTACAGTCTGTATTGTTGTGGTACTATTGTAGTTGTACCTTTTTTATTTTTTTTTATAGTAAACATAGAGCGTGCGACCCGTAGGTCATATAGACGATGGACAGACTACAACGACCTCACTCTCCATTCGCCAACTAAAAAACTCAACTATTGTTGCGATTCCGTGATAACAACGTGCAAAGAAGTTGGAAACTCAATATTGAAAACACGGAGTAATTTAAAAAAAAAAAAAATATCATTCCACAAAAAGGTTGATATAAAAATATTATACAATACCTATTAATTTACTACTACGGTCTATGATAAATGATTCATACGTCATCGTAATACGTCTCTTCACGGCATAAATATATATTTAAACCTATGGTGTTAGGCAATATTGCAATTAACAAATTTGCAAATTATATTTTACTCTCCTCGAGACACTGTTTTTACTCTTTAAGTGGTTTTTAAACTTTTTTCTCACATTCGCATAAATTACTAATATTAGGTACTGTACAATTTGTTCACATATTTTCTTTATTGGATCTTGCAAAATGTCTAATAACCGTTACGTGAGTAATTCATCGCGAGGGATATTCGACGAAGACGACGATGTAGACGACAATGAATTCATGTCCCGCGTTCGACCCAACGTCGGCTATAGAAATGACCTTTTGGGCAACAATTTTGGTAATCAAGAATTAGAAAATGCCCATAGACAAAAACAACAAGTTGTTGAAACAACAAGAGACGTAGAACAAAGAACTTTACAGTCCACTGAAAGAACCTTGCGTTTACTCAGAGAGTCTGAAAATATTGGTACTGCTACAGCTGAAGTAAATAATTATGAAATAATATATTTAAACAAATACTCAAACAAATACTTTTGATTTTGACTATTACAGGAACTGGTTAGACAAAGAGAACAGCTGCAAAACACCGATAAACGACTTGATGAAATCAATTCTAATTTACGTGTCAGCCAAAAACATATACAAGGAATTAAAGTAAATAATATATTATAATTTATGATGAAAAAAAATTCCAGCTGTAGGTACCTAAAGAAAAAAAATTGTATTTCAGTTTAAACCTTGAATTAAAAATAATGTCAGATTCTAAGCACATATTATTTGTTTTATCTCTCAAACCAGTCAAATCTACATTTAAATTTGTGTTCAGCACAGCCAATTTTGTGCGATTAGCTTTAATATTAGAGTGAATTGGCTTATTATCAAACCCTGAAATTAGGAACATAGTTTGCGTTTGAAAGTCGGTTTTTTTACAATATTTCTATATTTCTGCAATATATTATGAGCAAGTTAAGATTGTAATATTCTACATAAGCACTCGTGATTAGTGTGAAAATTAAAATATCATAAGAAAAGGTTTATGTATAATACCAAATTATGTTCATAACTCGAAGTTTGAGAATAGATAGGTCACTCTTCTTATATTAAAACTAACAGCCCAAAATTGGTTCTGCGGAATGCAAATTTGCCATGCTGAGTGTGGGTTAGAGATAGAAAACAAATAATGTGTTGACATCCTTGATTAATGGTAAGACTTTGAATTTCCTTCGCCTATACTATACACTGATTCTTTTAACAGTAAACACCCATTAACTCATAAAGTATTTACGGTTTTGAAAATATTTTGTTTACATTAATTAACTGTTCTAGTTAGGTTCTATCATTTATAAAATAACATTTTTGAAAATAAAAAAATATTTTATACTATCTTGAACTAATTGTATTTTATAGAGTATTTTTGGAAGTTTTAAAAATATGCTCAGTGGTAAATCAAATTTACCACCACGTAGCGCATCAACTGAAATTGAGCCAACGGGGCCTCCATTAACAAATGAAGTGCGTAGAAGTACATTGAGTGAAACCTTGACACAAGCAAATTCTAATATTAGCTCTATGGATCAACATCCTGGTAAAAATATATAATCATATTCTATTTTTTCAAAAGTTTTATAGTAATGTAATTTTGAAATGTATTACTAGGTTTAAGAATAAGAGGTTTAGTAGACAACGAATCAACTACACCAACTGATGTACAATCTAATTTGGATAACAATTTGGATCAAATTCTTGGATCAGTAACTCGATTAAAAGGTTTATAAATATATAAATAATAAGTACCTATATGCTTAACCATTTCACTGCTCCAGGCGAACTATTACGCGTCCAAAACATTTACACTATTATTATTGCTCTATTATGTTCCTGTATTTTATAATATTATTATTTGCCGATAATCATATAGTGTTAGAAGTCCCTGGCTACCATTATTTTGAACCCAAATAATAGGATCATATTATAGATCTCAAAAGTAAAAAATATTTTATGTATCATACACAGGTTGCAGAGTATAAATAGTGTAACAATGAGAAGGTTAAATAAAATTTAATATTTTTTAATAAAAACAATATATTTATTTAAATGATTTTGAGTAAATAAATATGATATTCTCTTGTATCTTTTTAACATGTATTACTGTATTTATAGGTTTAGCATTGGGGCTTGGTGGAGAAATTGATTCTCAAAATGATTTAGTTGAAAACATTCTCGGTAAAGCAGATAAAGCTGACATAAATATGGAACGACAAAACAAAGAGATAAATCGTATTTTGAAAAAATAATCAACTATATCGAGCAACATTCCTATCACATTAGATATATTTGTAGCGTAAGACTCCTATTAAAATTACTCATAATACCATACTTTGTTTATACATTTATAACGAATCTTATTTCTCTATTTATGTTTATATTACCAATTTTTCATTTTAGCTATGAAGTATTAGAATCATTGAAATATTATAAAATTATATGAAATCATAATATGTGTCAATTCCATTGATGAAGAAAAATTGTATCAATTATATTTACTCATTATTCATTTGTATACTAATAATAAATAAATAACATATTTGCACAAATGTATGGTATTAATATCTTTCATGACAATAGTAAGTTATACTTTGTATTATTTACAATTTTAAAATGATGTAATTTACAATCATGGTCAGGACTTACAGCATTTTGATATCCATCGTAGATGTATTAAAACATAGCAGAGTGGAATACAAATATGTTTCAAAGTATAAGGAATTTAAAATATACAAAGTTTTATTTTGCATATTTTAAAACTGTTTGCTATATCGATGCTTTTTTAACGATTTTAACTCATTTTTTGAGTAGACAAATTATTTTTGTATAGCCCCGCTGTCGGCAACCGACGTTATGCTCCAAGTTGTCGACGAACTCCGGGCGAATCGACCAAAACAGTTACAAAGTCATAGTCTCGAGAATGAAAAGAGGAGTTAGCCTGTTGATGCCTAACAAGTCAGTGCTGCAGAGAACTGCCGCCGTCCCGTAATTTATATATTTACGTAGAACCTTGTTTTAAATTTTCAATCCTTAGCTATACAAGTTGAGAATTTCATACATTTTTAACTACAAAATAATTATTACATTTTAAATTTGATAAATGTTGTCAAAATTCGAACTTTAAATGCTTATAAAAAAAAAAACAACCTATGTATTTTTAATATTTTTCTACTGATATCGTAACAATATATCAGGAGCCTTGCATTAAATTTACACGTTTTTCACCCAACAAATAAAATTTTATTAATATTTTAGAAAAAAATAAACTAAAAATATTGAAAACTGACAATGTCAGTAAACAGCTCAAAAAGAGTCAAAAAAAAAAATGTATGGTGTATAGAAAATACTAATATAAACATTCAGTGTAATTTTCAAGTATTTACAGTCATTCGTTTTTTAATTACTTACAACAAAATAAGACTCTTAAAAATTTAATTTGACTTCTTCTAGAATTTTTTTTTTTATAAGGGTAGAAAAACTTATGAGAAATCCTGTATTACATTTTAAAATCTTAGATTTAAAAAGATAATTTTTTATCAATTTCTAACACAAAACTTTAAATGCTTATAAAAAAAAATTGTGACTGGATTTTTAATTTTAGATTCGAGTGAAACGATGAATGTATTGATTTTACAATGTTGTGTGTTTTTTTTTATTATTTTTTTTTGTGTGTCATCACGTTTAAGAACAGTAAAAGAGCTTGGATTTTCTTCAACAGTAGCTTTTCTGATAGGAAAGTGAATCTAGTTGGTACTTTGGGGGGGGGGGGGGTCAAAAGTGAAAATTTCTCAGTAGTTTTCAAAAGCGGAGTGAAAAACAAAATAAAAATTAAGGAAAAACGGGAATTTTTACACTAAAATCTGTTTTCGAAAAAATCGAATTTGGTTTTTGGTGTAACTCTTAAACAAATGACCGTAGGTACATGAAATTTTGACTGAATGTTTATATTTGCATTTTCTATACACGATAACATTTTCAAAATGTTTGGATTTATTTTGAATTGTTTAGGCACATTTTCATTTTCCATTTTTTTTTAGTTTTTTTTCTAAAAATATCAATACCTACCTATTTTTCGAAAACAGATTTTCGGTTTTCCTTCATTTTTCTTTTGTTTTTCACGGCACTTTTGAAAACAACTTGGAAATTTTTACTTTTGACCCCCCAAAGTACCGACTAATTCACTTTCCTATCAGAAAAATATACTGTTGGAGAAAATATAAGCATTTTTACTGTCCTAAAAGGTGATGAGTCATCACTGATGACAGACACAAAAATTAAAAAAATTAAAAAAACACACATCATTGTAAAATCAATACATTCATCGTTCCACTCAGAATCTTAAATAATATTGTTTGCGGAACATGTTTAGAAGGGTGACATATTGTATGTTTATCAATTGTTCAGCCATTGTGTGTTTAAATATAAAGCTGATAAATAAAAGATGAAAATATATCGTGTTTTTAATAAAAAATAAAATAAAATACATATGTTTTCGTTTTATATAGGTATATTGTATATTATAGGTGCCTACTACCTATAAACGATATTGGATATAAATCTAAAAATATTAACAGAATTCACTGATGTAATATACAATTAAAAAATTCATTTTTTTTAGGAATATAATTGGTTTCAAAGGTTTCGAATTTAGATTACCTACTAACACTTATCTCAAATCTGTGATTTATTATTTTATTAGTCAATTTGATATTACACTTGTGGCCAGACGATCCTTTCAATCCATGAAATATAATTCGATACTCGTGTGAAAACTGCAGACGATCCTTCATGTCCACAAATGTTTCCTTCAAATGATGCTATTCCTATTTGAGAATACATACATTTGTAACTATTGTGTTTTATTTGAATTGGCCCACCTCCATAGCCCTATAAGATTGTAAAAATAAATTGTAGCTATAGAAGTTTTTATAATACAGAAATACAAATAACTTACTTTACAAATTGAATTTCCAACTTTCGAATTGTCAGTACATACCATTGAGTTTTCATCTATTCCTTTTGCTAATTTATTTTTTTTGTTTGCCACGTTTGAGAAGCGATTATCGCACTCTTCCGCCGAAATAGTGTTTAACCGTACTTCTAATAAATGTGGGCTAAGACTTTGATCTAAATTTTTTTTAAATTATAATTGTACGTAGGTAGGTACCAAATTATATATTGAATATAATTTAAAACTAACTTACCTGAAACAGATTTTCCCCAACCTGTGGCCATTATTGCTGGAGGTGTTAATATATTATCTGTATTTAGGCAAATAGGTCGTACATATGCCGAGAAATCTACATCTCTTTCTAAACGAAACAATGCTATATCATTGTACAGAGAAGGTGATTTGTAATTTGGATGTATTATGCGTTCTACTATTTTATAGTCTGCAGGTTTGGCGTCGTCCGTTTCTGAAGAATAGTCTAGTTCACCTAAGCGAACCCATTTTGCATATAACCTGAAAATATAAGTTATTATATTTATTTCTATTACAATTTATATAAGTATTGCATATAAGTATACGTACGGATTTATAGCATTAATTTTTTCGCAGTTGGCTGCTGTTAGTACAAATCTATTACTTATCAGGGATCCTCCACAAAACCATAATGTATTGTCCGGTTTTTCACCATAACCCAACAAAGCCTGTAGGTAATTAAAAAATATAAATACAATACAATTTATCAATGTCATAATATATAATTTCATTTTGTCACCATGTGAGGAAATTTCTTTGGTTCAGCTGCAGTTGTCCCGCTGGTAATTAAGGGATTGGCTTCATAGCAATCTCTGTTATATTCCTCATTCAAATAATTGCCTTTCAAAAAATTGTTAGTTTCATTAAGATAAGTTGATTCTGAATACTTTCTACACACTGTATGCGTGAAATAATAATAAATAATTATTATTATTATAAGATACAATTTTGAGCAGATCTTTTAGAACAGATTATCTGTACATACTTTCAGAGGCAGAATATGATTTCGAAACTTCTGGTGGACAACAAACTATTGTAGTATTTCCGTTGTAAGAGCATATTGGGGGGTTAATTTTTTCCCCAAGTTCTCCGATTGCAACTGAACACTTTTCCAAAGTCCTACAAATGTAGTTGGAAGTTTCTCCATCGACGTTCCGGCAAATATCACCTGAACATGAATAATAGGTATATAAATAGGATTATATTTCACTTTTCGATGGCCGATTTATTTACATTCAATTTTGACTAAATGTTTATGTTTTTATTTTCTAAACACTGTAAAATTTTGAAAAAGTTTAGACTCGTTTTGGCTGTTTACGGACAATTCCAAATTTCAATTTTGTTAGTTTTTTTTCAATAAACATCAATTACATTTTATTCGTTGGGCAAAAAAACGTCAACATTTAACACAAGGCTCTTGATACATTGTTACAGTGACAGATGAAAAATATTAAAAATACATAGTCATAACTTTTTTTATAAGCATTTAAAGTTCGATTTTTGACAACATTTATCAAATTTAAAATTTAAAAATGATTTTGTAGTAAAATTAAAAAAAAAACCGTGGGCAGTGGATGGAACTTCTGTACAGTAGGTTACAAGTGGGTCACTGTATAATAGGTGATATTAAATTTTAATTCAATGATATTATATTATTGTATTCGAAAAACGATTCTGTGAGGAAACGGTTTGTTAGAGTGGATATTATATTTTATATTGTTATGCTTATAAGACGTATTGTTATTACTTATTATTAATACGGTAGCCGGTGAGTTGAATTATCATTATACAATTACAACAAAATATCTAAAATCGTTCAAAATGTTCCAAATTGTAACATAAAATAACTATAAAAAATACCAGTGCGCGCGAGGGAAGTGAAACTTCTTTTGAACGGTAGGTTCACGTGAGTTTATATTAATTAATTTAAAAAATGAGAGGAAGTCATCCGGAATTATTTATTATTGATACTTTAATTATTTTTATTCGACAGATCGATGGATAATTGTTTGTAGTATTGTTTTTATCCAGGAAAAAGGTTTGTGAGTGAGAATTAATCAATTAATAACAATTAATTAAATATACTAGATGCTAACTGATATTTCATATTGGTCTCTAAGTATAGATGCTATAATGATCGATCATTAACTATTCATATTAGTTAGTATAGCCAGTATAGGCCAAGATAGATGAATCTGTTTTTTATTTTGCAAAGTTTATACAATAATTATTCGCAGCAAAAAAAAAGTCACTTATTAACTAACGCTGCTCACGACCACCACTTACCTCGCAACGATTGTACCTCTTAATTTTTTTTTTTTTATTTGATATTAATTAATAAATTCACTCACAAATCTTTTTTCTGGATAAAAACAATACTACAAACGATTATCTTTCGATCTGGCTAACTACTTACTCTCATTTTTCGGATCAATTAATAATAACCGAACTGCGAACTAACAAACATTTTGAACGTCAGTACAATATTCTACAAATTTATTACAAACCATTCATTACACACACACTATTACTATTCAAGTCGTTTCCGGCTAATCGCATGGTAATGAACGCGACCAAATGTCAACAAACGCCGACATGTGTATTTTTTAATGTAAGAACAACAATCGTACACACGCTGCAGGTATACCTATATATCTATATATTATTATAGTTAGGTACATTGGTTAGGTACATTGGTTAGGTACATTGGTTGGGTACATTGGTTAGGTATATTGGTGGTGTACGATCAGACCATATACTGGTGTAGGTATAACATACACTGGCGCCGCCCGTTTGGTTTTCATTTTTTTCCTCACTACCCTTTGTAAAGAAGTTTCACTTCAAAACAATGTTTTTATATTTTTGAGATTTTTTGGTTACAGATTTAATAATCTACTTACATGGAACTTTGTTTCAAATGTTTAATCCTTCGCTATACATGTTGAGCATTTTCTACATTTTTAATAAAAAAATCATTTTAAAATTTAAAATTCGATAAATATTGTCAAAACAGGAATATTAAATGCTTATGCCTGTAAAAAACTGTGCATATTATGTATTTTTAATATTATCAACTACTATTTGTAACAATCAATATATAAAAACCAATAATTTTTTATGGCGTATAGACATTTCTTAAATAAACATTCAATGATAACTTCATGAGTATACGGTAATTTTTTTTAGGGATACACGAAAAACCAAAATCGATTTTGTCGAAAACCAATCTAGCGTAAAAGTTTTAGTTTTTCCTTGATTTTTTTTTAGTTTTTCCGGGTACCTAAATTTGAAAACTTATGTGACATTTTTAATCTAAGCGTTCTTACTGTCCAAATGGCGACGAGAGGCACACATAAAAATTAAAAAATTAAATAAAAACATACATCATGATCATTGTAAACTCAATACATTCATATAGCTTCGTTCAGACTCTGGATTCTAGAGTCAATTCTAGAGGTCAATCGTACCGGCTGCGGTAGATAATAAAACTGTATTATATATTTGTATCTGTTCCCATGATTTCTCAAAATCTGGTCTCTTACTTAAGAAAATAAACATTGTTTTAAGATCAATAGGCCCAATGATTATTTCCGTCCAGTATTAATAATTTGGAAATTTGGACTATAATATATTTAAAAAACGTACCTTCATATAATCCTAGTATTTTTGCACTGTATCCCAAATTCACAAAACATAATAAAACCAAAGTTAAAAAACATTGGAATTTTGTATAACTTATCATAATTACTAAAATAATTATTATATATTATTCAAACTAATTGATATTTGTGTTTACAAAAAGCCACTGGGTATACCAATAATAGACTACCGACCTAAAATTTGTTGAAGCTTTTAAATTAGATAATTATATCTAGTAGGTATGTACGCGAACACAGTATCATTATAACCCCACTTTGCTATATTATTGGTTCTTAACTTGGGAATATTTCTATTGATTAAACAAGATCATAAAATACTCACGTATTATAACAACAAATCATTAATCAGTGGGTGAAAAAAATTACGTTAATTTTCTTATCAACTGGTCACGATTAGATTTCTTTTTATGGGTACATTTTCAACTGTTCTTCGAGAAACGAATGATGATATCCGTTATATCGGTGTACATTCAAGCTGGCAAATAATTCTTGATTTTTAAGTGAAGTAGGTAAATATAAAATTGTCCCAATTTAACCTATGAGTATTTAACTATTTAACTATTATTATCCATATTTTCAATAGAATATATAATATAATATATTCTCAATGTGCATAATTTACAATATGCGTGTCTAAAAAAACTTGGATTATTTTTGAGAGCCATTTAGCAACTTCTTAGCATTTCTTATAAGACCTTGCCTGAATATAAATTCGTAATTATAATTTATCAGCAATACAAATTACTACAAACAATACGTCATAATGCAACCATCGTAAAAAGTCTAAAGTCCGGATATATTATATACGTTATTACACATCGTTATTCAGTTTTTTCAGTCTTACGAGAGTAAAAATAATTACATATTTATGCAGATTTATGCCTATCATGAGGGGTTATCGGTTATTTAGCTGAACCTAATCAACTTAACCAATATGTAAGTGAAAAAACTCCGAGCTGCAATCAGGAGAACCCAATGCAACCGAGACAATCTATTGTCTATTGACCAGCATATTTTTTATATCAGGTTCAGCAATGCATGCACTGAGGTTTCAATTAGAAAATGGGTAGGATTAAAAATATTTAAATTCACGAGATGTTTGGATAAAGAAAGTTAAGCAACATTCTAGATACTATATTTTTTTTTTTTTTTTACAGTTTATCTTGAGCCCGGCGACTGTGGCCATTAGCTTTATGGTTTTTATGTCGGTAGGGGGGAACACGTGTGTATTGGATTTGGTAGAATTTTTGATTGGGCACCCGTAGGTATCTGCCATGCCCGGGGTGGGGGATGGCGGCACTTGTTCTCCGTGACTTGATATAGCAGAAAAATGCCGCCCGTGACCAAGGTATCGAGCCAGAGTCGGCTGCGTGGGCGACAAATTTTTAATTATTACTTCTATTGTTACTATTATTTCTATTAAGATGTGAGTTATATAATATCGAGTCCACGAAAAATTTATCAATAAATATATATTATATGTTTATATAAATATAATATATAGTAGCTGAATAACACGGCGTTGCCCGGGAAAAAAATTGTGATTAATTAACTAATTTTGGGTGTAATTCGCTTTGCATAGGTTAGGCTAAAATTTAATACAAGGCATCTACTATATTGTTACAATGACATTTGAAAAATATTAAAAATCAGTAGCCACAGTCTTTTTTTATTAGCATTTAAAGTTCAAATCTTGACAAAATACTGAAAAATCACGAAAATAACCAAATCATTTTGAGTTGAGAATCATAAAAATTTTCTTTTTATATCTAAGATTTGAAAATGTAATACAAGATTAATCATATAATTTTGATTACCGCGCGTTATCAAAACAAAAATTTCTACAAGCAAATCAAATTAAATTTTTATGAGCGTTTGAAGTTCGTATTTTTACAAGAATGGATATTCGCTCGATTTCTCGCATGTAGTGGTTTTGTTAGCATTGTTATTCAAAAACGAATAACTGTAGATACATGAAAATTTTACTGAATGTTTATATTTTCATTTTCTATACACCATAACATTTTGAAAATATTTTGACTCTTTTTGAGCTGTTTACGGACATTGTCAGTTTTCATTTTTTTTAGTTGTTTTTTTCTATAAATATAAATTAAATTTTATTTGTTGGGTAAAAAGATGAAAATGTAATGAAAGGCTCCTGATATATTGTTACAATAGCAGTAGAAAATTATTAAAAATACATATAAGCTCAATTTTTTTTTATAAGCCTTTAAAGTTCGAATTTTGACAACATTTATCAAATTTAAAATTTAATAACTATTTTATAGTTAAAAATTTATAAAATGTTCAACTTTTATAGCTAAGGATTGAAAATTTAAAACAAGAGTCCATCTAAATAAGTTATATATAAATTACTTTATTCACAACTTATGAAAGAAATTAAACTACTAAAATTCATTAAAAAATACAAAAAAAAAATTGTGGTAAAAAATAGGTCATGTCATTTAAAAAAAATTATTGTGCGCATGCGCAAAATTAACTATCACAAAAATAGTCTAATTATTTTAAAATGTTTATAATAATGTTTGTAAGCGATATGCCGATATAAATATTACTCTCAAAATCTCAAAAAGACAATGAACTGGGACATGACGTCAGATAATGTCAGTTCATGTTGCACCAGATTGACGTCACTATACATAATACGTCACAATAAGGCATAAACTAATAAACTATAAGTTCTTAACGTTATTTTTATAATTGGCGCAACTGGGGACTTGTGCACTCCCAAAAAATAATAAAGACTTTTTCTATTATATTTTGGTTATTTTGAACTTTTGAAGTAAAAATTATATCAATAAATACAAAAATGTTGTACTATACGGCTATACCTTATACATAGGTACTATATATTGATTATTGAGGATTGAGGAATATAATAAGTAGGTAGCTACCTACTTCGCTATTTTATATTCACAGCTATAACATATTACGTTCTATGATATTACATTTATTACCTATTATGAAACAATCTTTAGCTAATTTAATGTTGTATAATATAACAGGTCACAGATGCGTAGTTATTACTTAGGTATAGGTATTTGTGGAACAATAATCATAATAATATCATATTATAAATTAAAAATTGACGAAATAACTTTGAATACAGGATTACGAAATTTCTCTTTATCTTTGGCAGGATGACAGATTGCCTATGAATATGAGTGCGTTTACATTGTTTCCTTGTTTATAATATTTTGTTATAGCTTATAAAACAAGTAAACAGTCAAATTGTGTTGTACAAACAATTGTTATGATTTTTTTATGAAAATTAAATATTTCTATGTTTATTCAATAATTAACAATATTAAACAAATAATAAAAGTATAAGACTATCAGTATTATAGTTGGTAGATATCTAAATTATTTTTAAAAAAAAAACATAAAATTACCAACTTAACAAGAAATTGACAATCTAGGTTTTCAATTTTAAACTGTTCTACTTCTAGTTCAAATTAGCTAGACTAAAAAATTTCTTAACTGAATAAAAACGATTGTAATGACATTATATACTTGGGAAATTGCAAGAGAAGAGAAAGGTCACGTCATCCTGAAGTCTGAATAGTAGTATTTAAAAAAAATATATTTTACTGGATAGAAAAATCATGTTAAAATAGTCGTGATAATTGTATTTTCTTAATTTGTTTCAGTCACACAAACATTTGAAATTATTTTTAATATATATATATATACCAACATTGTTAAAGGTCTGGGAGTCTGGGATTCTTTACAATTTGTGCATCACCAAAAATATTGGTCTAGCTGTGCCTAGAGTACCGCCACTAGGTACCCCGTGATTTATCTAAGAAATAATGACTATATATTATATATCCACCCCAATGAAAATTCTACCCCACTTCCGCCACTATCATATTGTCTATGGTTGGTGTATGTATTATAGTTTATGGCATGATTTATATGAAATATAAATAAATATACTATAATGATTAATTATATTATAATACTGTAGGTGATAGCTTTTCCGGGAGTTGGGCCAGTTGAGGACATAGTTTAATTTATGTGATTTTGTAAACTATTCTATAATATTATTCAGGATTAAAAAATTCTAATTAAGAGAATAAAAATATATTAATAATCAAAAGATTTCATCTGATGAACTTTTTAGTTATTATCGGACATTTTTTACATTATTGTCTTTTTTACGTTAAGTTTTAATTAAAAAAAAACCAAATTGCTAGTGTTAACCCAGAACAACTCTATGCATTTTTCGATGTGCCAGTCAACGGGCAGCGTATTAGGAAACCCAGGACTCATTCTCATTGGTCCATTTCAAATTGCCCGCTTTTTTTTTATCATTTATCAAATAATTTAATTTAATTTAATAATGTAATATTATTTAATTTAAACAAATTAAAATAACTATTTAGTAGGAAAAGGTACCTAACTAATATTAAACAATATTATTATGTTATTATAATTCAATAAATTAATGTAGAATGTGATCTCTACACAGTTGAGAATGTCCTGAATGTACAACATGACTCCTTAAATAACAAAAATTGACTAACAAAATACAAAAATTTGACCTACCCGATAATACTTTATAGGTGTTACAAGTTCCTATATAGATTATAATGACAATTATTATAAAATATACCATTCAATTTTATTATAATTTGATGAGGTACCTAACAATTTTGAACTCAGATTTACCAATTATTTTATCAAACGATTAAACAATTTGTTATTATATTACATTAAATTTTGTTTATTTTATGATGTAGGGAAGTTTATCTTCTACATCTACTAAGTTTATTATAAATTATAATCTAAATATATCAAACTGATAACAGTATACCTAGTCACAAATAATAATATAGTTTAATGTAATTCCAGTATAAACTTCATAATGAAGTCATAAAATATTAATTCGAATGAAAAAAAACTACCCATGTAAAAACAATGAAAAATACATGCTATATGTTCAGTGACCTCTACCATGGGATTTTGCATTTGATTGTCCTAAATTAATGTTTTTTCATATTCAACATATTTTAAAGTATTTTTTTTTTACTATGATGACCATGCGAGGCGGATGTTA